ATGCAGTCCATTAGTAATTCATGTTGCATATTTGTAGTGCTTTATGAGCTAAAAAATGTACTTCTATTCTCATATACTAATTTTTTTGCTTCATATAAAATTGGGTCCCTCCTAATTTGAATTCATCAAAAAGCCTCTCCATTGTTGGCCTCATTTCAAGTAAATGTAACAGAACTCAATAGTTGCTCTATTTTTTTTGATTTTGCACCGGTTGTCTGAGTCTCTTCGAGCCCCGACTAATCCCGGGGGTGCACAGGCCCTTGGCAAGGAGTTTCCCGCAAGTGCACCACGGTTAATTCAGGTTTTACCCAGTCCGATGGCCCTCAGAAATTGTCAGCACCCAGTGAGTTTCGAACTTGAGACCTTGAAAGGGAGCAAACCCCAAGGCTCAAGTCAATTGCCACCAGGCCTTAGGGTTTTGAACGACCAGGAGAATAGGGATATTGTGAAGTCCTTAACATGGAAATGGAAACCAGATATACTTTGCTTACAAGAAACAAAAATTGATGAGTGGAATGAGCAACTTTCAAGACAGATTTGGGGCTCTAGATGGGTTGGATGGGCTGAACTCAAGGCTAGTGGTACGAGAGGTGGTATAATAATATTGTGGGACAAGAGACAATGGAATTGCATTGAAGTTCAACAGGGGTCTTACTCTATCTCATGCTTATTCGATAACTCTTCAGTGAACTTTAGATGGGGTTTCACAGGAGTATAAGGCTGCACACTAATCTGGAGAGGGAAATCCTTTGGCATGAACTTGGGGCTGTTAGAGGAATCTGGGATGTTCAATGGGTAAAGTGAAAGACACAATTGTGTGAGAAGATCCAGGGCAATGAAGGAATTCTCAGATGTAATCAATGACTTATGCTTAGTAGATTTACCACTCCAGGGGGCGCATTTCACATGGTCTAGAGGGGAGGAATGCATCCAAGCCTTAAGAATAGACAGATTTTTTGATCTCCTCTGAGTGGAATGACACTTTTAATAATGTCAAGCAACTTGCTCTTCCAAAGGTCATTTCTGACAACATTCCTATCCTGCTGGAAAGTGGAGATTGGGGCACTAATCCGTCGTACTTTAAATTTGAAAACATGCGGCTAGGTATTGATGGATTCTTGGATAGAGTGAAGGCATGGTGGCAAAGCTATATAGTAAATGGCAGTCCAGACTTCATTTTCCACTCAGAAATTGAAGCTACTCAAGAAAGACATTACTACTTGGAATAGGGAGGAACTGGGGAAGTTAGATGCAAAAAAGAACAAAATTTTGGATGACCTATTCACGCTACAACAGATCACTGAAGGGAGACCCCAATCCTTGGAAGAGAAACAAAAATTCTCAGGGCTGCAACAGGAGATGCAACAATTAGCCAAAGCAGAAGAAGTATCATGGAGGCAAAAGTCTAGGTGCCTATGGCTCAAAGAGGGAGATAGGAACACCAAATTCTTCCACAAAGCTGCAACTCTAACAGAAGATCAAATTGCAGTGACAGGTTGAAAGTGGGCAGTGACATTACTGAAGATAAAGACTTAATCAAGAGTGAAATCCTAGGCTTTTACCATCAACTGTACACAGAAAATGAGACTTGGAGGCCAACAGCAAGACTGGATGATGTAGCATCAATCACAGAGGAGGAAAAAAAGTAGCTGGAAAGACCTTTTGAGGAGTCTGAGGTACCGGAAGCAATCACTGGGAGTGCTCCAGACAAAGCTCCGGGTCCAGACAGGTATACTATGGCATTCTATCAGAAAACATGGGGCGTGATCAAACATGACCTTATGAGTGCTATCCAACATGTCCACCAAACTGGACAAATAGTAAGATCATGTAATGCATCATTCATAGCCCTAATCCCTAAAAAGAAAGGGGTTGTGGAACTGAGAGATTATAGGCCAATCAGTCTAATTGGAAGTGTCTACAAAATTGTTTCCAAGATCCTAGCGGAAAGGTTGAAGGGTGTAATAGGAAAGTTGGTACCGGGACACCAGAATGCTTTCATCAAATCAAGACAGATCACCGATGCATCATTGTTAGCTAATGAGGTTCTGGATTGGAAGTTGAAATCAGGGCAGTCTGGTCTTCTGTTCAAATTGGATATTGAAAAAGCCTTCGATCAACTAAATTGGTCATATCTCATCACTGTTCTAAGGAAAATGGGTTTTGGAGAAGTCTGGATTAGGTGGATCAAATTTAGTATTACCACAGTTAAATACCCTATTTTGATCAATGGTGGGCCTGTTGGTTTCTTTTCTCCTCAGAAAGGTCTCAGACAAGGTGATCCTCTCTCTCCATTTTTGTTTATCCTAGCTATGGAGGGGCTTAGCAAAATGATTGACAAAGCAAATCAGCTACACTGGATGGAAGGATTTAGGGTGGGGAATGATGCACATAACTCAGTCTTAGTCTCACATCTTCTTTATGCAGATGACAATCTCATATTTTGTGGGGCTGAGAGATCACAAGTAATGTACCTGAACCTCACACTTATGATTTTTGAAGCCATATCAGGTTTAAATATGAACATGTCAAAAAGCACAATTTTTCATGTCAATGATGTTCCTGATCTGGAAGAGCTATCTGATATAATGTGTTGTAGTGTGGGATCCTTCCCCACTACATACCTAGGCCTACCATTGGGAGCATCATACAAGTCACAAGGAATCTGGAGTGGGGTTATTGAGAAGTTTGAGAAAAGATTGGCCTCCTGGAAAATGCAGTACCTCTCTATGGGGGGTAGATTAACGCTTATTAACAGTGTGTTGGATAGTATTCCTACTTACTTCATGTCATTATTCCCAATTCCAATTAAAGTGAAGAAGAGGCTAGATCAAATTAGAAGAAACTTCTTATGGGAAGGCAACAGTCAAAGTCACAAATTTCATTTGGTCAAATGGTCAAAGGTTATTTTACCAAAGGAGCATGGAGGATTGAGTGTTAAAGATTTGGCATTACATAATAAGAGTATGCTAATGAAATGGCATTGGAGGTATAATTTGGAGGACCCTGGTTTGTGGAAATCAGTGATTAATGCTAAACATGATGTGAGGAACAACTGGTGCACAAGACTTAGCAGATCACCTCATGGTACAGGCCTATGGAAACACATATCCAGTTTATGGGATGAGTTCCAACTTAACTCAAAACTCAAGTTAGGGAGTGGAACACTCAGCAAGTTTTGGCAAGACAAGTGGCTGGGAACAATGGCACTAAAAGATGAATTTCCAAATTTGTACCTACTGGCAGTAGATCAAGAATCCACTGTAGAACAATGTTGGCAGAACAGTTCTTGGGACCCTCAATTCAGGAGACATTTTCAAGATTGAGAGATAAATGACCTAATGGAATTGCTGGCCAAACTAGCACAGATTGCTGTCAAACCCCAGCTGAAGGACAAACTGGAATGGGGGGACGAGAAATTTACAGTGAAGAAAGCATATGCACACCTATGATCCAACAATGATCTGATAAACAATTGGCCATGGAAACTAATTTGGAAAACAAAACTGCCTCCTAAAGTGATCTGTTTCAGTTGGGTTGCCTTAAATGAAGCATGCCTCACTCAAGACAACCTCAGCAGAAGGAGTATACCAATGCTGAATAGGTGCTACATGTGCAATTTGGATTCTGAAAGTGTTAGACATCTCTTTTTGCATTGTCCTTTAGCATGTGATATTTGGAACATGTTCCTCTCTATTTTTGGACTAGCCTGGGTCAAGCCTAACAGCATCAAGGAAGCATATGAATGTTGGTGTTCATGGAGAGTTGGTAAATCCATCAAAAAAATTTGGGTAATGATACCTGCTGCTATATTTTGGTGCATCTGGAATGAAAGGACCGTAGATGTTTTGATGGGATCTCAACTCCGATTCATGTAGTCAAAGCAAAATGCTTATTGAATTTGTTTAGTTGGCTAAATCAGGCACCTGTAACTAGTTGTGTTCAATTTTTTGATTGTGTCTGCTCCTTAGTGATAGAATAGTTTTTTTTTGTGTATATGAGCAGACACCATCTCTCTTAATTGTAATCTTTAGCCTGCATCCGCTGGATGCTTTTAATGAATTCTCCTTACTTCATCAAAAAAAAAAACTTTAGATGGAGGGACCTCCTGATTTTTCTTTCAAGGCACTAAACGTCCTCAAATAGGAAATAAGGAACCATATCGAATTCAAGGTCTAAGTGATAACATCTCGTCACCAGCATAAAATAAGATCTTAAATGATGCATGTATCTACTTTCTTTCTTTTTGTTTAACACAAAGTGAAGTTGCATATTTCCATCAATAGGTTTGTTAAGTGGACAGGAAGGATACTTCCATTGTTTTTCCATCTTGATTACTAGATGGATTTGGACTAAGTGATTGAGGGGAACAAGATTTACTATGGAATTGAGCCTAGTAGGTATATTAATATCAGGATCCCTAATCCTATCCAAAGCTTAAATCAACAATTGCAGAAAGAAGAGAAAATTCAAATATATACCATAAACCTGACAAGTTTTATAACAAATAATTAACTGCAAGACATATAATTCGCAATACATAAAATTTAAATGACGTAGTAATAGCAAATCAAAACAAAAAATTGCCAGAAAAAAGTTTTACATGTATTTCATTGCAGATAAAGGCGTGTGCTGTTTCAATCATCACTAAGGTCAGGATTTTTGTGTTATTGTCAGTAGCAGTATTCGGAGGGTTTTACTTTTTAGTTATTTCTCTAGCATGTCCATTTCTGAACCTCATGTGTATGTCGGAACCTTAGGTCTCCTTATATTCTTGTTGCTACTATCAATGCAAGAGAGAAAGAGAGCAGGGGAAATTCAAGGCTGTGCAGTGCAGGACGGGAAGAGGAAAGATCAGCCAAAAAAATTGGGGGTTATACATTGAACTATGGGAAATCAAATGGTAAATAACTCATCCATTGATGCAGAAAGTTGAAGAATGCAAACCCTTGAACTCCCTTATGAAACAATAGAAGAAAGAAAAGGGAATAAGTACAAACCCAGTTTCAAGAACGGAAGTTGGATAGAACCGCTTGAAATCCTCTGCTGACTCATCTGGCCATCCAAGAGTGCTGAAGGGCCACAATGAACTGAATGAAAAGAACAATGACTTCAATCAGAGATACTAGAAACTCAGCAACCACATGGACCAAAATCATGTGAAGACTGCCAGTAATTTAAACCAGAAAGCAAAATATTATCAAATTCGTAGTTTAATGAAAAGCAGAAGTAGAAATTCCAGTAGCATCAAAAGCGAAGACTGAAGGTTTAAAAGGCATAAAGTTGAAATAACAATTAAATTAACGCCAAAATTTCACAGTTGCAGAAAAGAAGATGAGAAGAAACAACACACTTCTCTTGAGATACGATAATGTGGTGCTGATAGAGAATAAACTCAAAAGCATCAGATTTACAAAATTACGAAATATGTCCCAAAAAAAATGCCTGATGCATGTTGAAGGGCAAAGATGATAAATGAGAATATTAGAGAAAAAAGAAAACCAAAAATATCATTGAAACAAAATCGAAAATGAGAACAGCAGTTGGCGTTTATTGATGAACATTGGCCCTATTGGTGATGAATAGAGCTGACAAGCTCATAGCCAACTGTCGACACCAAGTGATAAGATAAGACTGAGTTGAGTTCTGTAAATTTGCGACAAGACATAGAAGTCTACATTGTTCAAAAGGATGGATTTTTTATTCTAGGTTAATAAATATCCAAATGGCTTCATAAAAATACCCAAGTGGAGTTCAAGGGGGGAAAAAGCAAGTTAAACAAAAAACCTCGAAAACCAGGTATCAAGAACATCTGGATCCTGATATATTTCGACATTTTTCCCATACTTCTCTTGGGCTTTTGAGAGAGCTTCTCTGTGACTCCTAGCAACAATATATTCTTCTTCACAGTCTTTACCAGAAACATACCAAACTGGTATTCGATGTCCCCACCATAACTGTCTGCTTATACACCAATCCTTAATATTCGATAGCCAGTGGTTATATATCTGCAGCGCATCAGGAGATAACACACATAAGTAGGCAAATGAAAACCTACTAAAACTAGTCAAGGTTGATAGGCAATCAGGTTGCTCTCAAACTTTTAACTTTTTGGTGCAACTAACGCTAGATTACCAGATAAGTGTATACATATTACATCCTTAAGAAATACCATAGTTTCATTAGCAAAAATACACATTCTCAACTTGTTCCACAAATATAATTTACTGCTAATACAACAAGAACATGTCTGTAAGCCTCATATAATGATATATGACCTACAGTAATGCTCAACTCTAGTGCTGTCATTCTCCTAACAACTCCACGGATGCGGTCCTCAGACTCTTCACCTACTGGATTATTCCCAACAAAAAGTTTTCCGTTGATCAGAAAGACCAATAGAATCAAAATATGTAGAAGGCTTAGATGCAAAAAGTGAATAACAAGCTAATGGAAACCCCGCGTAATAGATAATACAGTTTAAGCAACAACTTTTTCTTCTATAATATTATTGAGCACATGAAAAGCAGCCGATTCCCTCAAGTTGAATGTGAGGCAACATCTAGCATTTTTCGAAGCCTAAGAAACTCAAACAATGAAAGTATAAACAGAGAAGAGCTTACAAAAAAAGCTCAAAAGTGAATGATTTTTTAGCCATATGAAGCAAGACAGTTACCAATATGATCTCCATACCTTCTCAAATCTTTCAGGCATAATAGTCAATTCTCCTTTTGAAACTGCTTCAAGTGCCCTCTCAGCCAAAGGCTCCATCGAGACGAACCATTGCTTACTCACTAGAGGTTCTATAATCTGAAAACAAAAGTAACGTGAGAACAAAGCCTGGATAAAGGAATTATTTCTTCTTTATCACTTTCACAAAATAAAGAGCAGAACATAAGAATCGCACTTCTCCACCACGCTGGGATCTAGGAACTCGTGAAGTGTGAGCCTCTTTCTTCACAGCCAAGCCCGTCTCCTCAAGATCTGACCAAAGTTTCTTTCTTGCCTCAAACCGGTCAAGGCCACTGCACAAATGGAATAACCATGCACAAAACAAATTATAATCTTTCAAAAACCAACAGTGCTCTAACAATAGGAAAGAAGCTTGTTACTTACGCATATAGCCCAGCCACCTCATTTAGGGTCCCATCTTTATTCATCACATTAAGTATAGGAAGACCAAGCTTGCGAGCAAGGAGGTAATCATTGTGATCATGTCCAGGACTTATCTTCAATACACCAGTTCCAAAGTCTTTGTCGACATACTGTAATAAATCATGCATTAGCAAAACTTACCCTAACAACCTTACAATTCTTTATAAAGGAAAAAGGAAAACAACTTAAACATTTCTTGTTCAAATGAGCCTTATGTTTGAACATAGAAATGTAGAGTTAAGGATCAAAATCTTCTAAACTTTTATAGGACAAACTTGCCACCCAAGCATCTAAACCATCCACAATGAAAGAGCCAAGCAGTGAAATAATCTAAACCCAGAACATATAAAACTCCTTTAGAAACCATTATACAACCAACGTGGGAAAGGTTCTCTAATGTCCTCTCGTAAATGTAACCCAGTTCCAAGGTTAACATGTGAACTGAAGATCTTTTTATATCTTTTCTTCTTTTTAGAAGTTTGACGAAGTTTAACAGGAACAGTGGGCCTGGAGCAGAGCAAATGGACTCATCTGGAGACTCATAAAGATAAGAAGTGGGCCTGGAGAAGAGAGAGTAGGCTGGCTCAAAAGGTTAAGTTAAGAGAGGTAGCCCAAAAGGATAGAATAGGTAGGAAAGAATACAGGCTTACTGAAATTCAGTCCTTATACCATAGGAAAGAATCTGATTATCTAATCCAAAACTTTAAGGCAACAAGTGGAATATCCTAGGACATTATAACCCCATTCGGAACTATTGTACTACTGACGGCGAATAAATTCTCTAACACAGGCCATGAAAACTTTGTATAATGACTAGTAGGCATCCAAAAAGAAATAAGAGAAGGGTAAGCATGGAAGGAGAGTAGATAGGAGAATAGGCGCAAGAAATAACAACAGAAATGGTCAACGGAGGAGAGCCACTCGTATCAAGGTTACCAAAGGCGAAAAGCGCAAAAAAGCTCGAAGGTCTGCCGGGGTTTAAGCGCAAATCACAATTAAAGCGTGGCCTTTAAGGAAGAAACATGCAAATGGAGAAAAAAATACAAAATAGTATATGTAGTCCAAGACTAGAAAATATAAGCAGGAATAACAAATATGTGGACAAAGAAATTGAAAAAGGTACGATGAAGTTGTTAAATAGTTAGTAATGTATAGTGTCCCACATCGGGAAGTAGATACCTATTATTATGTAATCACTGTATATAAATAGGGCGTTGTACAACACTTTAGAAATAATTAATAAAACCTTTCCGTGCTATACTTCTCACATGGTATCAGAACATGAGTGAGACACATCTGGGAAAGTCAGACAGTCGTCATGCGTCAAATTCCGTCGACTTTCTAGGGTTGATTGCGTCAGATCAGTCTCTGTTGATATTGTGCAAAAACCAACACCACCACAGGGTCCCTCAGCCTTCCGCGACCAAACCCCAGAAAACATCTCCGGCAACCGACTCCTCACGCGCTCGCATGTGCTGATCAGAGGTCAGAAATTCCTGCGAGATCTACTCCACACGTCGGCGCGTGGAGCCTTTGCCGGTCACTTTTTGAAAAAGTTTCTTTAGAACAGTGAGGTCGCCTACCTTTTCCGAGCCTATCCATACTATTTTCTTTTTATTCCGATCACTTTGAAAATTTTCCAGCAAGATTTCCGGCAACTGTTTTGTTTCCGGCGAGATACAGTATTTTTTCTTCACTGTTCCTGTGAGCCTTTTAATTGTTCTTGATTGTGATTGTCTGTGCTATTTGGTCCAACAATGTCTTTGAGACTTGATGTTTTTGGTTCTAAAAGCATGGATTCTGGAAATTCAAGTTTAATGATTACTTCGGAACCTCTAATGGGAAGTTCAAACTAGTTAGCCTGGGCTTCTTCAGTTGAGTTGTGGTGCAAGGGTCAAGGTGTTCAAGATCACCTAGCCAAGAAGACTAGTTATGGAGATGAAAAGGCCAAAGCACTCTGGGAGAAAATTGATGATCAATTATGTAGTTTGTTGTGGAGATCTTTGTTTCGTCTATTTCAGACATATTATTCAGTTTGGGAGAAGGCTCGTACTTTATACACTAATGATATATCTCGTTTTTATGATGTGATATCTCGGATGACAAACTTAAAGAAATAGAAATTGGATATGTCTACCTACTTGGGACTGGTGCAGGCAGTTATGGAGGAATTTGAAAAGTTGATGTCAGTCACTGCTAGTGTTGAAAAACAACAAGAACAACGACAGAAGATGATTTTAGTTCTTACACTTGCTGGACTGCCTAATGACCTTGACTCTGTGAGAGACCAAATTTTGGCTAGTCCTTCGGTCCCTACAATTGATGAACTATTCTCTCGATTGCTCCGTCTTGCTGCGCCACCCAGTCATATAGTGGTCTCACCACCAATTGTTGATTCATCTATTCTCGCATCGCAGACAATGGAAAATCGGATATCTCAGGCTATGGAGAATTGAGGAGAATTGAGGAGAATTGAGGAGAAGGAGGTCGTTTTGGGAGATCTTGGCCCAAGTGTTCTTATTGTAATAAATTTAGACACACTCGTGAAGTGTGTTATTCTTTACATGGCAATCAGAAACGCTCATGTTGCTCAGACCGAGACTACAGGTAACCAGGGATTTTCTTTATCTGAAGGGAAATATAATGAGTTCCTTCAGTATCGAGCAAGTAAGCCGACAATCTCCACAAGTAGCTTTGGTTGCTCGGATTGATACTCTTGTTGCTGGTAATTCTTTTGCGTGTGTTTCCCAGTCTATTACTCTTGGACCGTGGGTCATGGACTCAGGAGCTTCTGATTTGGTAATAAATCACGTTTGTCGAATATTGTGTATCCATAGTTTTTTCTTATTGTTACTTTAGCCAATGGGTTCCAAACTAAAGCAAAAGGAGTTGGAAGCTAATCTTTCATCTTCTGTCACTCTAGATTCCGTTCTTTACGTCACTGGCTGTCCTTTTAGTCTTGCATATGTTAGTCGTTTGACTCGTGCCCTCCACTGTGGTATATATTTTATTCATGATTCTTTTATTATGCAGGACCGCAGTATGGGGCAGACGATTAGCACAGGGCGTGAATCGCAAGGCCTTTACTAACTTAATTCACTCAATCCCCACAACATGTCCAGTTACAAATCCCCATAACATGTCCAGTTACAAATCATCCAAACCCAATTCACAAACTTTTAGGACATCCGAGTTTATCCAAGCTTCAGAAGATGGTGTCTAGTTTGTCTACATTAGAATGTGAGTCGTGTCAACTTGGGAAACATACCCGAGCCACCTTTCCGCGTAGTGCTGAGAGTCGTTCAAAGTCTATTTTTTTTTTGATTTGCACCGGGTGTCCGAGTCTCTTTGAGCCCCCGACTAATCCCGGGGGTGCACAGGCCCTCTGCAAGGAGTTTCCCGCAAGTGCACCACGGTTAATTCAGGTTTTACCCAGTCCGATGGCCCTCGGAAATTGTTTGCACCCAGTGGGTTTAGAACTTGAGACCTTGAAAGGGAGCAAACCCCAAGGCTCAAGTCAATTGCCACCAGGCCAACCCCTGAGGGTTATTCAAAGTCTATTTTTTCTTTAGCTCATTCTAATATATGGGGCCCTAGTAGAGTTAGTTCAACCTTAAGATTTCGTTATTTTGTTAGTTTCATTAATAATTACTCAAGATGTACTTGGATTTTCCTAATAAAAGATCGTTCCGAGTTGTTTCCCATCTTCTAAAATTTTTTTGTGTTGAAATTAAAAATCAATTTGGTGTTTCTATTTGCATTTTTCGTAGTGATAATGCTCTAGAATACTTATCCTCTCAGTTTCAGCAGTTTATGACCTCTCAAGGAATTATCCATCAAATATCTTGTCCGTATATCACTCAGCAGAATGGGGTAGCAAAGAGAGAATAGGCATCTCATTGAAACTACTCGCACACTTCTCCTTCAGTCCAATGTTCCACTGCGTTTTTGGGAAGATGCAGTTCTTACAGCTTGTTACTTAATTAATTGGATGCCTTCATCTGCTATCCAGAATAAGATTCCACATTTAGTATTGTTCCCTAAGTCACCCTTATACTCTCTTTCTCCTCGCGTTTTTGGGAGTACATGTTTTGTTCACAGCTTAGCTCCAGGGAAAGATAAGTTAGCGTATCGTGCTCTTAAGTGTGTCTTCCTTGGCAATTCTCGGGTTCAAAAGGGATATCGCCGCTACTCACATGACCTTCGTAGGTATCTTATGTCAGTCGATGTCACATTTTTTGAGTCTCAACCATACTTTACTTTTTCTGATCATCGTAATATATCTAAGGTCTTACATGTACCTACTTGTAAGGAATTCACATCCAAAACACTACGACAACCACTACTACCTATACAGACTTTTGAGGAGTCTACAATTGCTCCTCCTACATCCCACCCACAAGGCCACTACTCTTGACTTATCATCGTCATCCACGTCCAGCATCAGGCCCAGATGATTCACGTCTTGCATCAGATTCACCTACTGCGGACTTGTCTCCTCCTAGTCCACCATTTGCACTTCGAAAAGGCGTACGATCCACACTTAATCCTAATCCCCATTATGTCGGTTTAAGTTATCAACGTCTATCATCACCTCATTATGCCTTTGTCTCATCTGTGTCCACTATTTCATCCCTAAGTCTACAGGTGAGGCACTATCTCATCCAGGATGGCGACAAGCTATGGTTGACAAGATGTCTTTAGGTGCAAGTGGCACTTGAGAGCTTGTTTCTCTTCCTTCAAGTAAGTTCTATTGTTGGTTGTCATTGGGTTTATGCAGTAAAAGCCAGCCTGGATGACCAGGTTGATCGGTTTAAGACTCGTCTTGCTGCAAAAGGATAAACTCATATATTTGGGCTTGATTATAGCGACACTTTCTCTCCTGTGGCTAAAGTAGCATATGTTCGCCTCTTTTTGTCCATGGTTGTTGTTCGTCATTGGCCTCTTTATCAGTTAGATATTAAAAATATTTTTCTCCACGGTGATCTTGAGGAAGAAGTTTATATGGAGCAACCACCTGGTTTTGTTGCTCAGGGCAGTGTTTTGGATAGCGTGCGGCGACAAATAGCGACGAGGGCCCGCTTCACTGAGGCGAGAGGCGCGCGGCGAAGCACTCGCCTTTTTGATGTGAAGCGACAATTTATAAAAAAACATAAAATATTATATACATATAACTAAAAACTAAATAATAATAATATATTAATAAATATATCATTCAAAAATTAAAGACTCAATAGATAGTCATAGACTCATAGTAGATTCATAAACTAAGTATATAAGTATAAGACTATAATTCTATAATTGAAAAAACAGAGCAAACAAAAAAAAGGCTACTGCCTCTGGAAAAACAGCAAAGAAAGAAGAAGAAAAACAGAGCAAAAAAAAAAGGCTACTGCCTCTGGAAATCAGCAAAGAAAGAAGAAGAAAAACAGAGGCAAAAAAAAAGGCTACTGCCTCTGGAAATCAGCAAAGAAAGAAGAAGAAAAACAGAGGCAAAAAAAAAGGCTACTGCCTCTGGAAATCAGCAAAGAAAGAAGAAGAAAAACAGAGGCAAAAAAAAAGGCTACTGCCTCTGGAAATCAGCAAAGAAAGAAGAAGAAAAACAGAAGAAAAAAAAAAGGCTACTGCCTCTGGAAATCAGCAAAGAAAGAAGAAGAAAAATGAAGAAAGAAAGAAGAAAGAGCTGATCATTGAATGATTGAAGAAAGAAGAAAGAAGAAGAAAAAGAAAAAAGAAGAAGAAGTCGCTGCTGAAATAGAAGAAGAAGAAAGTAGAAGAAAAAAGGAGAAGAAGAATAAGAAAAGAAAAGAAAGTAACATACCTGGTGATGGTGATGATGGCTGATGATGGAAGAAGAAGAAGAAGATCGAAGGTCGTTGAAGGAGAAGAAGATCGATGCTCGTCGCTGAAGGAGAAAAGTGAAACCCAAGCCCTAATTTTGTGTTTTAATATTAATGCTGCCTTTTCTTCTGTTTTATTCAAAAAGCGACGCCTCGCAGCGCCTCTCGCTACACAGGCAGAGGCGCTCGCCTTTTCTTCCTCGCAACGCAACAGACCAAAATAGCGATGTTCTCTCGCCTCGCGTAGCTACACGCTATTAGCGCTGTAGCGCTCACTATTTACAACACTGGCTCGGGGAGTCTAATGGTTTTGTATGTCGATTGCGCAGGTCACTCTATGGTTAGAAACAATCTCCTTGAGCTTGGTTTGGTAAGTTCAGCACAGCTATTCAGGAGTTCGGCATGACTCGTAGTGAAGTTGATCACTTTATGTTTTTCGGCATTCTGCTCATAATCTGTGTATTTATCTGGTGGTTTATGTTGATGATATTGTTATTACTGGCAATGATCAGGATGGTATTACTATCTGAAGCAGCATCTCTTTCGGCACTTCCAGACTAAGGATATAGGCAATTGAAGTATTTTCTTGGTATTGAGGCCGCTCAGTCTAGCTCGGGTATTGTTATTTCACAGCGGAAGTGCCTTAGACATTCTTGAGGAGACAGGAATGATGGGTTGCAAACTTGTTGACACTCCTATGGATCTGAATTAAAGGTGACAAACGGGTGGACCGGACCTGTCCGGGTCGAGAAAAAAAGTGACCGGCTGGTCACCGATCCGGGCCGGGTTCCAGGTTTTACGAACCGGGCTTAACGGGTCCGGCCCCATCCGGCCAAAAATTGAACCGGAACGGTTTCGGGCCTAAGGGGCCGGGCCGGGTTAGTATAATTTTTTTTTTTTTTTTGTTTTGTATAACTAAAGTAAAAATATATTTTAAAAAAAAACAATCTTATAAAAAGAGTGTTTGAATAAAGGATGCAAAGACTTTAAAATCCTTATATTTGAATATTTCATTAAGAATTTAAGATAATAGTATACAATAAAGATGGAAAAAAATTCCACTTATAATTTGCAAGTTCAAACTTGGAAATTAAAGTTTACATTTAACAACAACTAAATTAATGAAAAAAGAGTAAATTCAAAATTTAATTATTAAATATAAATCTAGAACTTCAAAGGTTTTGCATTGCCTTAGTAAGTTCTTCATAATCAATATGACCTTCTTGGCCATCTTCTGGAGTGTTAAATTCAAAGGCTTTCATAGTTTCATTTCAAATTTTCATAGCATAATAATACTTCAAATTAATCTAACAAACTAAAACATTAAGCATAATACGTCTAATAGTTTTAAAATAACACAAATTGCCTCAAATCAACTTAAAATCTAAAATACGAATTTTTGGAGGACGCTCAAGAAAACTCTTCATATGCCTCCTTAAACAGCCTGTGCCCTCCCACTTTCGACGAAGATTTAAGCCTCGACCACAATTCTTGCACTTTAATTTGTGAACTTCTTCATTTTCTTCTACCACCTCAAAGTGTTCCCAAACATATGAGCGCACTCTAGAATCACGGGGCATGATTTAACTTGAATTGAGAATTTGAGTTTGAGAAATGAGATGAGTGAAGAAATGAAGAAGAGGGGGTCGTTACCAACGATCAAATGAATTTTTTTTTTAAAAAAAAAATCAGAAAATCATTGTTGAACCGGGCCGGGCCGGTTAACTGGTTCAACAGTGATTTTCCTTGACCGGGTTTGACCGGTCCGGCTAACCGGAATTTGTTTTTTTACACGGACCAACCCCCCTAACCCAGAGTCAACCCGGCCCGTTAAACCGGCTTAATCTGAATGCTAAGCTTCTGCCAGGACAGGAGGAGCCTCTTAGCGATTCTGCGAGATAAAGGAGGTTGGTTGGCAAATTGAATTACCTCACAGTAACTAGACCTGACATTTCTTTTCCTGTGAGTAGGGGTGGCAAACGGGCGGGTCGGATCAGATATGGGACGGGTCGAAAGCGGGTAATGAAAAAACGAATAAATTATCCAACCCGACCCATATTTAATACAGATAAAAAATGGGCTAACTGTTGTCTTTTTAACTATTTTGCCACCACTACCTGTGAGTGTTGTAAGTCAGTTTATGGATTCTCCCTGTGATAGTCATTGGGATACAGTTCATATTCCTCAGTATATAAAGTCAGCTCCAAGCAAAGGACAGATTGTTGGGTACACATGCTGATTGGGCAGGATCACCTTCTGATAGACATTCTACGTCTGAATATTATGTTCTAGTAGAAGGTAATTTGGTCTCTTGGGAAAGCAAGAAACAGAATGTAGTTGCTCGATCTAGCACAGAAGCAGAATATTGAGCCATGGCTCTAGCAACGTATGAGCTAGTTTGGATTAAGCAGTTGCTCAAGGAGTTGAAGTTCGGACAAGTCAGCCAAATGGAACTGGTGTGTGATAATCAAGCTGCTCTTCATATTGCGCCAAATACGGTGTTCCATGAGAGGACTAAACACATTGAGATCGACTGTCACTTTGTCGGAGAAAAGATACTCTCAGGAGATATTACTACAAGTTTGTGAAGTCGAATGATCAGCTTGCAGAATTTTCACCAAGTCTCTTACTAGTTCTCATATTAGTTACATCTGTAACAAGCTCGGTACATATGATTTATATGCACCGGCTTGAGGAGGAGTGTTAAATAGTTAGTAACGTATAGTGTACCACATCGGGAAGTAGATACCTATTATTATATAATCACTATATATAAATAGGGCATTGTACAACACTTTAGAAATAATTAATAAAACTTTTCCGTGCTATACTTCTCACAGAAGTGAAATATCATTTTTTTAGTGTCGCCTCTTTAGGATTACGCTCATTGGCAAGGAAAAGTATGCCTTAGAGACTTGGTGACAACACTGAAGCACTCGCTAAGCAAGGTGAAGCGCTCAACATGTTTTGCGCCTTGCTTCAGGGATTAACCGCACTTTAAGCGTGCCTTTGACAACAGTTATATGCATGGGCATCAATTCTTGACTCAACTTTCAGAGAAATAGTTACTATGTATGGGCTGACAAGATTACAACCTTGTAACTCATTCCTCCAGGTGACACTGCACCTACCATTAGAGATCACTTCATATACTTTGAGCTCGAAGAGAAGTCAAACCTAGTCTGACTAGAGGAGAAGTATTTTTCCTACCTTGTCAGAGAGAATTGGCACATGGCGACCAAATGTCAAGGGCACAATAGCCTGCTTTCCTATAAACTTAGCATAACGTTCATCCTGCAAAACAGCATCACCAATACATCAACTGCAGATTCACATGGAAAGGGATTCTGATTTCTCTGTAGAATCATTTAACTCCATCAATAGAGAACAGTTATACAAGACACAAGAAAAATTACCAATTCTCTTGATTAAATTCTTCATACATGACGTGATGACATACAATGCGACCAAATAGACTGTAAGCAAAGCACTCTTCCATGTTCAGTTTTTCATCAGACTAATTCAATTCGGCCAGCACATAGGAATGTGCGGGTAGGCATACTAAGGGCATAGGCAAGCAAAACATTTCTTCGTTCTCAAATAGTTAAAACTTGTGGAGGAAGTGACATCTTATGACACAATATTCATAAATGAGAAACCTCAATGTGCAAAACTATCAATAGAAAACAATTAGCAACTAGTGAGACACCATAAAATGCTTGGATACGAATTCACGAGCATGAATTCTAACAATTCAAGCATGTGTTAGTAGAGTTTAATCTGGCGATTGCTTATTCTAGGCTCGAGGGCAAGGCAGACTTACTTTGCCAACATAAACTTCTGCGATAACGCACTTAAAAGGCCTTCATCCTCCAAGGCTTAGAACATTTGGGTTGATGCAAACCAGACCTTTTCTATGCCTTCCGATAAGAAAATGGACCTTGGACCTAACTCAAACCCAAAGCTAGGTCAAGAGATAAGGATTGCCCAAGACCATATAAGGAGACAACAACCCATTTCCAGTAATGTATTAAACATGTACAGTAATGTTTTCTGTATGAAACCCATTACATTCATATACTATCTTTATAAGGTATTTTCTTCTAATATATAAATCGAATTAACTTACTCCATTTCCGGTCAATATCGTCATATAAAATGTAACAGGAGCAGTAATTTTTCCCCTCTTTAAAGAAAAATCATTTCTGAATTCTGATTAGATATAGTTCAGGACAACATACCTGAGGATTAACAGCAACGGCAGTATCACCAAATAAAGTCTCTGGGCGTGTGGTTGCAATTGTCAAATAGTCACTCCTGCACCAAAAAATTTTTAAAAATTTAATAAGAAAATACCAAATTAGAACATTTGGAAAAAGAATTACATTGCTCATAAAGCAACTAACTGGATAAACCCTTTTATAAGCTACACAGAACAGCAAATAGCCAAAGCCCAATAGTGAAGAAAAATAAGCACAGAGCTTGGCTGATAAGAAAATTAGAATCTTAGCTACAATTAAGGCTCGCAGCGAGCAGTTACAAATTGAAAACCATGTTATCAATAACTTGAAAGCGTGTTCAATTTTCTTATATCGTGTGACCAAAAGATACATTATGCGAAACAGCATTTCACTTGTGTCTGACTAGAGTGAAACCTTATTTACAACATAAAAGTTCTGAAAATTTTACTGTGGGAAATGTTATACAGAAGAAAGCCATTTCATAAACTGATTCTGAAATTTCATTGGTCGCGGCATTGGCTTGCTGTTTGAATGATGATAATAAACAGCTAATACAGCAATGATGTTCCCTTAAAAGACATAAGCTGTTTCCATATATACTGTAAAACAATTCCTTGAGGAAAATATTTTCTGTAGTTTTAATAAACCAAACAATGGTTTACGAAATACAGAACTTATCTTAATATATATTGCGTCAAAACCAAAAAAGACTTGTTCATACCAATTTCTTTTGACTGAAATAGCTAGATTTGATTATGGCTGAAAGCAAACAAAGCTAGGACACGGATTGGGCAACTTATTGAAAAAGAAAACCCTCTTAGCAGCAAGACAAAGGGTATAAAGTCACTGAAGCTACTGGACTGGTGAAAGTCTCATATCCATACTACCATTTCAAAGATCACTTAAATGGATAGTTTACAGCATTAAACTGAAGTCAAGAAGAAAATAAAAGTGATTAGCTGCAAGTACATGTCTTTACTTTGATCCTCCAGCAACACGATACTTGATGTAATAAAGTGTACCAGGTTCTTCAGAATACTCTACTTCCTGAGGTGGAAAAGAAATTCTTTTAACCACTGAGATTTAACCACTAATTAACAAGAGAAGCATAGAAGATGCAAGTATTTCCAACTGCATAAATAGCATACCAAGTCTGAAACTGCAGTCTGCAAATTAGGAGACCAATTAACCATGTAAGAACCTGCAAATTTCCGATTTGACAGCTAAGAAATTTAGGTGAAAGTTGACATCCAGAAGAACACTTACTTGTTATGCATCTTGCAGAAAGACAATGGTGGGTCGAGTCCAGCATTAGATTAAAAACAGTGCAGTTCAAATGCTATTTGACCCTGAAGGGTTTATCAACAGCACTACTTTTTCCATGTGAAGAGATCCAATGCAATGTCAGTCCATAAATTAGAAAGGCATGTCATCCAGGTTCATGCTTCTAAAGGAAGTGTTGAAATGTATGACCATCTCATCTAAAAGCTTAAGCTCTTAGAGAAAGCACACTTCTAACTAAATTATATCATGTCTCAAGACGCCCCCTCACTTATAGACCTGATTCTTTTCTTCTTTTTTTCATGGGCCCAAGACATGGAATATCTTTTGCTTTTTGGGTGGCGGTGAGATTTGAACTCAGGACCTCTTACTTGCCCTGGTACCATGGTGAAATGCGTAACCATCTCATTTAAAAGCTTAAGCTCTTAGAGGGAGCACACTTTTTATTACTTAATTATATTATGTCTCAACAAGAAGCTCCAAATTACTTTCAACTCTACATAGAAGTATTTTAGGGTTGAATGCTCCAGAGTAGCAGTTTTGCTTCTATAAAGATCAAGTAAAATTAGAGGAACAGGAATAACTTTAGTCGTGAAATTTGTCTCCACCAACCGCTATCCTTCAGCAACAATGATTGGGAAAGCTTATAAGATAAAGGATTGAACAATTCTTAGCAACACAACCAAGTGGAATTTAGATGTTCATTTTGTGCCGTACATATACCCTGAGGTTAGCTCCCCACATCTTTCCTTTATCTTTCTCACAGCCAAGACGCTGCTTTTGCTGTTCGTAAAGTAAATTCATCTATGATACCATTAAATTTTGGTTGTCATCGAAGACAAAATATCTATTCAAAAGACGGGCCAAAAGGAAATAAAAGGAAAACATACTCTATCGCAGAAGAACTACCACATACTCTCAACACCACCCACAATCCTCAACCGAATAGAAAAATAAAATACCCAAAACATAATATAGAAAAGGGCAGAACTACTCTCGGAAAAATGAAATCATGAAGTTCTCGAGGTAAGTCTACTTTCATCAAAACAATAGAGTTGGCAAAGATAGCTCATTGGATCAAGCAAAAGTATCTATCTTTTACAAACTAAAATCATATAATTTTTTGGAAAAGCAGTGCGTACCCTGATAGATTAACCCTTTTTCATGAAGCCTTATAAATGCTTCAACTACTGCTCCTGCAACAATCGAAATTTTAAAATTTAGACTCCCATTATGAAAATTGATGATATATATATATATATATAACAAACAAGAAATAATACACATTTTATCACTGGACTAGTATTAGCTCATCTACATCTTGACAGGACCAGGTACATTCAGATGTAATAAACTATTATTGGGAAACAGTGCATAGGATGACAAAGTAAGAAGACAGATGAACTGAAGAGCCCCTTAGAGAATTCATAGCTTGCTAGCCTAGAGAGTTGATATCCATATTATGTAGACAAGTCCGCACCACAGAGTTGATGGGAATTTTACTGAATGGAAGGCAGTCTTACTACTCAGCTGTTCATCAAGGGTAAAACGTTCTCTGGTCCAATCACAGGATGCACCAAGTCTCTTTATTTGGTTAGTAATGGTTCCACCATACCTAAGTAATAAAAGAGAATAAGCATTTGTAATTTAGATTGAAAAGGAAAATATTGAAAAAGCAAAGGAAGGGAAAAGATTGGAATGACAAGATATACTTAGAAGGAGAAAAAAGATGCATATAAATTAGAAATAGAAGGAGGATATGCATTGAACACGAAGAATGATAGCATACTGCAACACTGTAGAAAGCATAACCACTGATAGGTCTCTTCCCTGTAAAATGGAAGCATATAATTCTAATGTTTTGATGTGTGGCCATAGAAGATAGGACAAGATTAGATACAGATTGCTACGTAGGAGCAACTTTTTCTGATAATTGAAGGTAAAAGGAGATTAGATATACCTAAAATCTAATGGAGATAAAGTTATTTCAAGAATCTCTAAACAATGCCTTCTTGGCTAAGAATTTAACAGAATGGAGGCAGAGGGTTCCAATGGGAAATACCGACTAGTTGATACTACAATAACAACCCAGTGAGATCCCACAAGTGGGGTCTGGGGAGGGTAGTGTGTACGCAGACCTTACCCCAACTCCGGAGGAGTAGAGAGGCTGTTTCCGGTAGACCCTCGGAACAAGTAGGAAAGAGACAATGTATCAGTAACAGCAACGGACTAGTTGATACTATACTAATTATTTTTGTTATACTTACATTAGGTCCAGCATTTGCCAAGTCTTTTCATTCTAGATATAAACAACAATGTCCGCAGCTGGATAAGTGTGAGAATTAGAGAACATTTATCTTACGCAACCCCTAATTTGCCTTAAAAGACAAATAATTTAGTACTGGAATGAACGAATCTGGATAGAGCAGAATGGATACAAGAATTCATATAACCAACCCCAACTAGTTTGGATTGATGAATAGATTATTGATCTAACTTAACTTGTTGAAGAGGTGAAATATAATCTCTTATTATAATGTGTTCTTTTCTTGGGGGGTGGGGGAGGGGGGGCATATGCAGGAAGTTTGAGCTTTAGACCAAGGTATTGATGATGGTTCTCTAATCTTGCAGAACAAATGTAATACGATGATATGCCCTTTGATTTCACCTGCTTCAGCCTGTGCTTTAAAATTTTCAACTATCAATAATACTAATATTGTTTGATTCAGGATCAAATCTCCTCTAGTTCATCAGTCACTCACCGACTGTACTCTTTGAGCACCTACTCATTTTCTAACAGTATATTATGCTTTTTCTGGATATTCGGGTACCAATACCATGGGTTCACTTTTGAGGTTCCCACTGGACTGGGGCCACCAAGATGGCTTTTCCCATATGGAATGAAAATATTGGATTCATGTAAAAGGAGAAAGATTTGTATGTATGTGTGTTGATATGTATTACCCAAAAGTTTGCCTAGTTAGCCATACCTCACACAGCGAGATGTGTACTAAATGTTCACTTGTCTGTTGAATAGGCAAACTCTTCATTAAAATTATGTAGGTTTTTAAGAGAAGTGGAACATCAGGCCCGCAGAAACCTACTGAAAAATTTCCATTAGCTAGATAGTCGCAAGCATGTCAAATTGCTACAAACTGATATAACATTTAGACGTTCTCATTTTGTTCAATAAAATTACATTGGTATCGTTTTTATACGGTCGCTAGAAACGTGAAACATCACTATCAGGATTATGGAGAGCACACTTCATCAACATTCAATTTCACATCAAACTGTCAAGGAAGAACATGCTTCCGGCTTCTTCTCATTCTAGTGTTGGCTTCTTATGTTCAGACTTGCCATCAGGTCCTTCTGATTTATAATTTATAATGACCCATCCAACGGTTTGGAATGTTACAAAGCATTTGATCAGATTTCTTTAAGATCAATTCTGGGAAAAAGCTATCAGAATGGACAAATAGGATGAAGCATCATTGAACATGCAGCTGCAAACCGGTTCTCTTAGAAAAAAAACGTACCACCTTATCTTCCCATACTTACCTTTCTCATAAGAAAATTAAAAAAAAAATTATCTTCCCCCTTGCCAAATACAAAAGTATGTGGAATAGTTAAGTGAGCTCGAAAGGCCTCCATGGCTTTGGTCTAATTATAAGAAAGCGGCGCATAATGTGCGGGTTAGGTGCACGTCACGGGTTCGAACTCTGCTGCATTTAAGTGAAGCAAAGTAACATAGTGGGTCCACTATCCACCGAGTTTAGAACCGTGCACCATTGGCCTCTCAAGGATTCTTGGTTATCAAAAAAATGAGGGCGCAAGATATTAGTCAAGATAACATTAGGAATTAAGGTGAAACTATCCTAGCATTTAAAGGACAGCAGGTGAAAAAAAAATAGGTGAGCAAAAATACTAGGTGATTTCTTTCCATCTGTCTACGACTTGGTGGACAAAGTTACCCAGCACCTGTGTTGGTGGAAGGTAGAAGGTACCCCATGGAATTAATCGAGGTGTGTACAAGTTGGATGGAACACCGTGGTTATCCAAAAAAAAAGACTAAAGGAGTACCTTACCAAATGAAGAGACTACTATGCATTTCAATAACATGATTGAAGACAAACCACACTATAGATGTAATTGTCACATAGTCACGATAAAAAGTGTCTTTTTATAGGGGTGGAGTGGATACTAATAGTCAGCTCAATTAGAAATGAGTGAGGAAAACGTTGGCACATTGTAAATGTAGCTAACTATTAGCGCATAGGGAACTAATGTACCATAATAGAAGCGTAATATAGATACAGGAACAAAAGATGGCTATTAGTAAGTTCAAGCTAATCTCGTTATGAAACAAAAATGGAAGATTACCATATTAATCAATGGAAGGTCCCGAAGAATGCCATAGAACTAGGAGCCCTTTGTCAACAGCTCCTAATCCTCGGTTTAGGGTGGAAAGGCAAGAGGAACTTTCTCGGTCATATTCTTCTACCATGGGTCATCACATAAAGAGGATAGAGTGTTCCCCCACCTCTCAATTTAGGGTTCTCACAACACTGAGGAAGGAGTGCTTCATCACATGGCGAGATACAAAGTGGAGCAATTCTCACGGAAAAAATAGAGATAACGCATGTTACTTGGTGTTGCATGTGCAAAATAGCCAGTGATAATGTGAAAAATTTGGCTGTTCACTGTCAAATCACAATTCAATCATGGTGGGCAGTGCTGAATCTCAGTGGCATTTAGCAGGTGATGCCATGATGCTAACGACATTTCAAGACTAGTTGCTCAATGGGGTATTCATAAGGAGGAGCAAACGAAGATGGTCATGGGATGAAACGCCTCCGACCACATGACATACTTTGGATAGAAAGGAATAGGAGAGCATTTGAGGGATTGAACACTAGTTTTGTATAGATTCTACAAATCTTTTGTTTTAGTAGACTTTTGGTACACCCACGAAGTCCCAAGCAACATCTATGATTGGGTAATTTTTTTGTAGACGGGCATATTCATTATGTAGATTCCACTTCTGTATACAACTTAATATACTTAAAAAAAGTGACCACATCAATAAATTATTATTTTTATTGGAAAAAACACCTAACAGCCTCGACCCCAATATATGTGAGCATAGCATGCAAATTAATAGATTCAAGGAATTGCAGCGCCACCTATGTATAGGAACTATGAAAGATTCCAGAGGTATAAACTTAGGTTGAATCTTTTTTAAAGAATTCCCTCTGTACTGGGCACGTAGTTTAAGAAAAAAAGTAAGACGTTTCGAACTTGTGGTCTCATTTCTATTGCTATAAAAGCATGTCATTAAGGGTAAAATAGAATGTTTAAAGTTAAATTATTTGCAAATACAAAGAGGTATGTTCTTTTTTAAGAGACTAAAAAGGGAAAGATTGTTACATAAAATGGAAAAGAGGGAGTATGAGAAAAGAAGCTCATTTCATCCAAGAGCTAAAGAAGTCTTATAGGTTTCTCTTTTTCTAGGTCTTCAACACTATTTAGAGCATCAGAGCTCAACTCATTGACATGTTACCAGAATATAAGGAAATTTCTATGAGAAAAAAATTCTCATGAGAAATTTCCTGTTTGGTACTCTACTGCTCAATGGTTGCAGAACTTGTAGAAAATATTATTTATTTTTTCATTTCATTTTTTTAATAAGAAATTAAAATGTTCATTTTTAGTGGGGAGGAGGTTGTTCTAACTGGGACATAAAATACTAGATGCCAACTAGATTTCTCTATCCAACAAGGAGATCGTAGACCTTACTATCAAGAGGAAGACCTTGGTACTTTACCTTCCATAATGTTTGTTATCTTCTTTTCATTGTATATTATCTTTCCAAGGTTTCTATTTTTTGGTATACTTCAGACGTATACGAACACGTGTTTGCCCCTTTTTAATGAAATTTATTACTTTATCACAAAGAAGTTATCTTTCCTTACTTGTCAGGGTCTGCTGATAGCCACTAATGGTACTCATTTAACAAAATATGTTACTTATCTAAAAGAATTGTCGACATCTTCTGGATGTTTTAATAAAATAATCGTTATTTCATCAAAAAAAAAGAATAGATAAAAGAATTCACCAGTAACTTGGGAGATTCCTAGGATACATGTAGGTGAAAAAGTTTCTCTATCTTTTTTTATCGGATCGCATATGCGAGAAAAAGTTTTATACCATCAATCATGCAGCATTCTAGAATTTAGTAAACAAATAGCTTAAATAAGAATGAGTAGATATACTTCTGTTTCCATTCCCATACTCGTTTTGTAAACTCATCTCTACCCAAATCAGCCCGTTTTACTCCTTCTGCAGCTAGCATTCTCTCCACAACCAACTAGAAAAAATAGAGAAAAAGAAAAAGATAAAAGGTATTCAGTTTTTCACACCCAAGAAACAATAAAAAATTTGATTTCTGGAAAATGAGAGCAGTTGTGAAAAAAAAGGATAAATGACAAGTGGAGCCAATTACACAAAAAGATTAAGTACTCTACAAGTTTGAGAAAGAAAAAGGACTACCAACATGTTACCAACCACAGATAAAGGAAATGTTGACATAATTGAGGGAGTAAATGACAGAACACCTTAGCTACACATCAAAACTCTATAACTAATATCAGTACCGGAAGGTCATATTGGCAACCACAGTTCCGTGCACCAAAACAAGCAAAAATAACTTCCATTCCATGTGCATTTGCACAAAGAGAACATTGGAAAACAAGAACTCAAACTCAACTAGCTAGCAACGAAATTTCTTGCATACCCAAAATGGTCATAGTAAGAAAATTTGATCAAAATTAGACGAAACCGGGAATGTAAATTATCAACGAATCACACGCATCCATATGTTAGCAATATAAAGTCAAATGTAAAATGAGATGCAGTTAAGTAAAAGCACTAAGCTTTTGGATGTAGAGGGAACCTGAGTTGCAATACCAGCATGATCTGTTCCAGGAAGCCAAAGGGTAGGTCTTCCCTTCATGCGGTTATATCGTATCATGATATCCTGACAAAGGAGATGATAGAAATGAAGTAATGTAGAAAATTTGAGATATGTCAAATAACAGATAAAATAATGACTATGTTAGGTGAAAAATGAAAAAGCAAAAGGCTAATGGTAATCAAGAACAACATTGTTCAATTCCTCCCCGTTAAACTGTGTGATGCATATTCTTAGACCATCCAAAAAGAGTTAGTTTTGTCAGCCACGAACGACGACTTTCAGAATCATGCCATCCCCAGTCGTTGTTTCCGCCTTCATATGTTTTTTACGAGTTGATCTTGGGGCATTCTTTTTTTATTGAGCTATCAATGAGCAATCAATGTATTTCTAGAAGGAACTGACTGAAGCATATTTGGTTAGATGTAGCGGCATCGTGCTAAGCTATTGGGATTAAGTTGTAAGACTAGGCAGAGAAGTATCTATAGAGCCTAAGTCTATATTGTGATCATCTATCAATGTGTCAGATACTCTATCAGCAGTGGGCTCAAGTGGCAACTTTGTTCAGCAAAGCATGGACTTGGCTAGAATGTCATGTGGAGATTGTGGATGTGACGTGCGAGATTCTTGCACAATTCGAGCAAAGAAGGTTCGTTTGCATCAGATAATTGTCAATTCAAGATGTTTTGCCATGCTATGCATTGATGCAAAGTTGCTACCCAACTTAATGAGGCAAAATTGGTAACGGAATTTTCTCTCTGTGACCCCGACCCTATCGGAACGACTTGCCCTTCCATGCGCTAAGCTGGATAGAGCGCTTTTAGAAAGAGGACTACCTGATTATAGAGAAACATTCTTCTCCTTCACATCATCGGTCAACTCTGGGGATAGTGGATAGAGCTCGTCCCTATTTGACTGAAGAGGGAAGGGTTCATTCCGATGACAAGTGATGCTTGTTGACTGAATTCCATTGAATATTGGGTCATGTCGATAAGTTGAGGTAAGATAAGTCCACGTTTATCAGGTTGAGCAACCAAGTTATGGCGAGCCACGGGCCATGGACTATAAACTTTGGGCTAGATCAGGCATAGATCTTTTCAAGTAGCATACTGAGATTGCAAGAAGTGCATCATTTGAAGAGCCCTCCTAGAAAGTTGGCGTTGAGCTGAGTATGCTAGATGTTTATCTATCATAGGGCTAAAATGAATGGAAGGTGAATCCCCCGAGCACCATGTAAGGAAAATAGATTTGGTGCCTACCATCATATAACACGCAGCAGTCCAAGCAAGCAAGGCTGAGGCCAACCTAGTGGGGGTGTTCGCACGAGTGTCACATCAACAACCGCGTTAGGTGAATAGGTTTTGTACCTATCATCACGAAGGAGAGAATCTCCAAGAGTAAGCTCTACTCAAAGTTGACGCCAAGCAAGGGCAGGGCGTGCATATGGGTCGCGACAACCATGAGGAAAGACTTGAGCCTTGCCGGGAGTTCGAGAGTTACAAATAGGTGGAGTCAGCTCCCATATGTGTAAAAGTAAGTCAAATCACTTCAAGAGGAGGGCCAGAATTGGACCAAACAGCTGAGGCGGGGAGGCAATGCCACTATAGAGTCAAGCCACTTAAAGCGGGGAGATGTAGAGTTGGCCAAGCCACCATGTGGGCAGACAATATGTTGAATCATGAGAAGCAAGATCAAAGCATGAATAGCTTAAACTTTTAGATGAAGTGGTCATACACTTCAAAATGGTATCAGAGTAGGAAGAGGTTCAAGATTTCAATTCTCACCGCCATCGACTGTCAAAACAAAAAACTCTACGTGCCTAACCATGAAAAATAACTAGACTCAAACGTGAGGGGGCGTGTAGAAGATATAACTAAGTGAATAAAAGTTTGCCCTAATCTAACAACTAAAACTTATAAATGAGATGGTCATATGATTTAACACTCCCAAACCCAGTCCCTCCCCTTCAAGTAGACATCGCAATCTCCGAGGAAAGATAAATCCTTAAGGAAAGTGTGTCTCCATGTGCACAAAGGCATGGGTAAGGTGACACCTTGTATGATAACTACAACCGCCATAGAAAAATGAGATATACCAAGTGTGCCTGCCCGTAGGAAGTGAAGCATCAATTAACTATCCCATGATAACTATAACCTCATACGGCTTCATTATGTTCTAAAATTTTCAGTCATATTTGTATTGCACTAGAAAATTTCATCTCCATTAATCTTTGACAACCAAAATGGAGACAAGATTCTAAAAAATAGAATAGTCAATATGGATTTACCGTCTTCTAGAACCACTTGATAATACTACGAAATTAGTACTAGTTATATTTCTTAGCAATAATAAATAGAATTCCAGAATACGGAAGACAAATGGTTTGTCAATGCATTTGAATGTAATACAGTATTGTGGGGAAATACATCCTGAAAAAACAAAACAGAAAGAACTATGAATATTGGAAATTAGGGATCAAAGACGGGTTAAGGTGATAGCATACATCTAAACACAAGATGCAAGGAATCAAAAGTAACCATATATATCAAACGGTAAGCTGAGTAACCATATATATCAAATTGTAAGCTGAGTTCTCTAAGACAAATTAAGTTATTTTCAGGTCATCATCTATACATCCTCACTTAAATGACGTTTATCATCCATTTATGATAGCATGATTGTTCTAGCATAAAGCAACTATCTATATTCTACATTTTAAACTGAGACACAATGTAGAATTAACAAGGCACGGACTGTTATCCGACTTCGTCAGCAGTCACCTAAATTGACATTTGATAATTTCCTTCATCTATTTATTATATAGAATCTCGATCTAGCATAAGGCACTGTTTCTTTATCAAACAAAAAAAAAAACACAAGTGTTTCTGATAATTTTATTGACTGTTCAAGTTAAACCTAACAAGACATGATAAAAATAACAATTTGTTGGCTGGTAGCCTTATTAGTTGGTCATTGTCGAGAAAATGATTTTCAATACAAAGATAAGACACCACATACATTCAGTTTTCAATTAAAGGGCCTCTTTTCTGTAAGCTATCATGTAATCAACTTTATCTTTAGCTTAGTGCCCCAAAATAGAGTAGCAAGTGAGATCTAGACAATAATTACTTGATATATTGAATGATGAGCTCATACAACTCAAGATAGACACTCAAAATGATTAGAGCAAAAATATCAAAAGAATTGCAACTGAATGCAACCTCAAGGGTCACAAACATGGCATGCCCCATGTGCAGAGAACCGGTAACATTAGGTGGTGGCATTGGAACTACGAAAGGATCACCCCCTTTGTCAATGTTTGGTTTGAAATATCCTTGAGACTCCCACCTAATAATCAGCAATTTCACTCATTAGTATTTTGCAGAGTAATGAATACTTAGATAGTGATATAACCATTATTCTTTGATGCAGAAATGGTATCGATTTTGTTTTATTGATGGAGAAGATGACATACTAACCTACCATAAACTGGCCAAATTTTGTGTAATTATTAGTCACTCTAAGTTAAGCCAATTGAAGTTAACAGTGAACAGCTTTGTATACTAAAACCACAAAATATCTAAAACTTAACAGGAATTTGCATCTCAACATTTCGAGCCAACATAATAGCAGTTCACGGTAGAAACAGTAAAAAAATTCTACTGAACCGTTTCTAAAGTTTTTGACTATAACTGCCGTTACCTTATGAGGTACACCAGAAATAAAATAAACAATCCAAAAATATAAGCGATGAATTGAGTCCAGAGAAAGCAAAATCACCATTTATATATGCGTTCTTCATTACTGAAATCAAATGACTTTGCAACTTCGGGTGAAGTAAATATACCATCGTTTTCTGCTGCTGCTGCAGACACTGCATCATAAAAGCATAAATAGGTACTACAACCCTAAGCCCTAATTCAACTCCGACGCATTTTCGGTGTTAAGAATTGAAATAAGTAGAAAAAAGAGAGGGATATTTAGAGAGGAGACTTACTGGCGAAGAATCGACGAGAACGGGAGAGTGAGACAGTGAAACGGCGTTGCGTGGAGAAGAGAAGAGGATTGAAACTAAAGCACAAGGAGGAGCATGAAGAAGTGGAAGATAAGAAAGAGGAAGAAGTGCGCAGAGCCATTGTAGTCACTTCACACCACTGCTACTGGGCAAAAACAGTTTTATCCTCCCGCCGAGCAATTTAATCCCATTGATTTTCCTTTTACCTTTGGTTTTGGGCGAATTGCAACAATAGACACTTTATACTTTATGCCCACTATTTCAAATATATCCGCAATTTATAATATTTTTAAATATTAGTCAATTCACTCAAACTACTCAATTTGAAAATTAAGGACTTAGTGGGCGTTTGAACATAAGAATTGTAAAATTTCAAAATAAGGGAAAAAAGGTTTCAAGTAAAAATGGTATTTGGAATTTAAAGTTGTGTTTGGACATGAATATAATTTTGGGTTGTTTTTGAAGTTTTGTGAGTGATTTGAGTGAATTTTGAAAAATAACTTTTGGAGTTTTTTCAAATTTTTGAAAATTTTCAAAATGCTTCTTCAAGTGAAAATTGAAATTTTTATGAACAAACACTGATTTTGAAAAAAAGTGAAAATTTTTTGGAAAAAAAGAAAAAAATTCTTATGTCCAAACGGATAATTAGTATCCTGAATTTTTGAGCTGCTAATTTGAAATTCAGGATTAAGTGTCCTGAATTTCTGAACTACTAATTTAAAATACATGACATAAGATTCGAATTTATGGACACAATTTTCGAACTCCTTAAGTTTGAACTTTAAAGTTTAAACTCTAGGACGAAGTGTCTTAAAGTTTGAGTAAAATTGGCTAATCTTTAAATATATTGTAAACTGTGGATATATTTTAAACAACATGCTTAAAAGTGATTACCCGGTGACATTTCCACTCTGATTTTCTCAAATAGCCCTTTTTAGGACACTATTTATATTTCATTCTTGTTTTAATAAGTTTTGCAAATATAAATCCATGCACTTCACAATTGATTTTGGATTTATGCTACCAGTCTCGGATAACTATATTCCAAGTGGTCTAAAGTTTTATCTTAAATATTTGCATAGGAAGTCTGTTTCTTCTATAACTTTAGCTTGGAAAAAAATCATGCACAACTAACACACACAAGGAAAGACCACGCTTACAAAAATAAAATTTTCTTTCATTCCATTAGTCTTCAAAAATAAACATGAATTTTGGATTCTCATTAGATTCAACTATATCAAAATCAATAATCCAACTGAACGAGACTTACTTTTTATGATTTGGATTGTTGACATCATACTTAATGTCATTGCTTTTCCATGTTAATCAACATAGCAAGTTGACAGAAGTAGTGAATTAGGGAAAGAAGAAATATGTTTTAATTTTCTCTCTGTCACGTTCAACTAAAGTTTCAGATAACTTCTTGCCAATAGTAGAGACTTGAGAGCTTGATCATAAGAATTTATATCTCGGTAATTTATTTCCTTTACAACTGAAGTTCCTAGCATTTTTGTGCTTCAACGCATTTTTCACAGTATTTTTAAGCTTGATCGCATTCCTGCCATAGCAATTGGCAGCGGACCCCAAAAAACTTAGCAACTTGTGTTGTATTTTTGGGCAACTATGAACTTTAGATATCCTCTATTTTTTACTTCCTTGACCTTTTTTTCTTCCTATTTTAACTTAGCTTCTTCTAATTATGCACCTTTAACATACCTATACCAAAAATTAGTGCATTAACCAAACAAGATTGAACAAAGTCTAATGGCATCAACATGTCCTCATATAAGTGTACTCACCATGATCAACTAGGGCACACAAATGATTATTATTTTAGAATTGTGAGATACCCCTGGTGAAATCAAAACTGGGATTCAAGACGAAGAAATACAAGCAAGACTTCCACTAGTATAATTGTACAACAAATAATGAGGAAGATGATGTTCGACAATACACACCTTGGTAGCAACGAGAGGTAATAGTGGTAAGACTTTAAATTCATTTGTACTTATTTCTAATAGTACATGGATAATTGATTCCGGAGGTATGTATCACATGACGTTTGATTGTAGATATGTTTCACCCCTTAAACCTTTCTCACAAAAATATATTTCCACAGCTACTAGTTCGTCGACATCTTTCATAAGGGATGGATCCTTGTCTTTCATTATTACTTTGAACTTAGATTATATCTTATGTAACGACTCGACCGGTCGTTTTGAGCTTTAGCATTCCGTTTAGTGGTTCGAAGTCTTGAGTGACTTCATATTGTGTATTATGACTTGCGTGTATGGTCGGATTCGATTTTTGGATTTTTCGGGATTGATTTGAATGAGTGATTCTCATTCTAGAAGCTTAAATTGGAAATATTGACCGAGGTTTGACGTTTGTGAAAATGACCCAAGAATGGTATTTTGATGGATTCGATAGGTTTCGTAGTATGATTTTAGACTTGGGCGTATGTCCGGAATTTAATTCGAAGGTTCCTAGGTTGATTTGACTTGTTTTGTCGAAAGTTGGCAATTTGAAGGTTTAGAAATTCCTTAGGTTTGATCATGGTTTGACTTTATGGCTATCAGGTTTGGAATTTGATTTTGGGACTTGGAATAGGTCCGTTTTGTGATTCGGAACTTGTCTGTAAAGTTTGGTGTCATTCCGAGTTGATTTGATAGGAATCAGATGCGCGATTATGTTTTTAGAAGTTCTTGAGTTTCAATGTTAATTTCTCCAAGCGGAAGGATGAGGAAAAAAAAATCGTTTTGATGCCCAATTGATGGCTCCATATGTTATTTTGATGGATTGATCGCGTGAGCGAGTTCGTGTTATATTTTTAGACTTGTATTGATATTTGGTGTGGAGCCCTGAGGGGTCGGGTGAGTTTCGGACGCGTTTCGGAGTGCTAGGAGGAGTTCTAGTTTTTGTTGGTTTCTGCACAGATGCTTCAGGTCTCGCAAATGCGAGACTATGTTCGCATTTGCGAGGTGGGACATTGCTTTTGCGATATAGGATGGGGACTGTTAGGTTCGCATTTGCGAACTCAGTATTCGCATTTGCGATGGGGTCTAGACTAGGCAGTGATCGCAATTGTGATCGTTTGGTCGCTTTTGCGAAATGTTCAATCTTCGCATTTGTGATGATAGTGTCGCTTTTGCGATCATTCTTTACATTTGCGGGGTTCGCATTTGCGAACCCCATGTCGCATTTGCGACACATGCGCCTGAACATAAGGGCTGGAAGTCGGGATTTAGGCCTCATTTTTCATATCTAAGAACCCTAGACTCGGTAAGAGGAGATTTTGAGGAGGGATTTTCATCTACAATTATTGGGTAAGTGATTCTAATCAATTTCTAACTATATTTCATGATTATATACAAGATTTAACATCAAATTCATGAGAATCTAAGAGAAATTTTGGGAAATTTTGCCTATGTTTTGAAAAATAAAAATTTAGGATTTGAGAATCGAAATGGACTCGGATTTTGAAACAAAATACATATATGAACTCGTAGGGTTATGGGTAGTCAAGACCTACCCTTAGACTCGGATTTTGACCGGACGGGACTGAGTTGACTTTTGTTGACTTTTTAGAAATTGTATAAAGATCATAGCTTTACTTATTGAAATTTGTTTCTCTTGCATTATTTGATGTTATCAAGTCGATTTATGTTAGATTTGAGCCGTGTAGAGGTGAATTGTAAAGGAAAAGCTACTTTTTAGTGTTGATTTGGCCTAGTTGAGATAAGTATCTTGCCTAACTTTGTGTGGGAACTGCCTCTAGGGATTGGTTAGAGTGTGTTATTTGTATTATGTGGAAGACGTGTACATGAGGTGACGAGTGTGTACACGGACTATATGTGATATTTTGACCGTATAGACTTCTAGACTTCTTCCATGCACTTAATTGAACTTGTTATAACATATTATATCCTTCTTTGGTGAATTAACTCTCACATGCTCTAATTGAAGTTGTTCGTCCATGTTCTAGCTTTTTATTGCCAGATTTACCCTTATATGTTTTAATTGAAATTGTTGCTTCTTTCTGTCACGTCCCGACCTCGGAGAGCGCACCCCGTGCGCAACCGACATACCCCGGCTAAGCAAGCCTGTTAGATGCTTTCTACCCAACCTTGCCCATTAATAATATAAGAACCAGTACAAGTGATAGACATGAGAAGAGTCAAGTATTCCACTTTCTTTTTCCATTACTAAAGGATATTCATTTATGATTTCCAAAACATTATAAGTTTATAGATATGATGAGAAACATGTTTGCCCAAATACCAACACTTACTAGTTTAATTCTCAATATCAGACACCACCTGCAACCTGTCTACGGAGCCTCTAAGTACAACATGCATGTGTGGTCTAGTGGTACAACCTATTGACACATGCATGGCCTAATTCCCACCCCAAAATATACTTGCACCGTAAAATAACTTGTATGGGTGGTATAGGACAGGAACTTACCCGGATAGATGGTGGTCTAGTGGTTGACTTCCTTGATTATTGAAGCTTGATGCAAGATTGGATGATTAGAATGTTAGGTTTCCTCATTCTCTCTCTAAAATGCTCTTACCTCTCTCTAAAATCATCAAATAATCTCCCCAAAATAAGCCCCAAAGGCTATTTATCAAAATGGGATCGGGTTATAAAAATAGGAAAATGGACCCTCCGAACTCAGGTCTGCGGCCGCAGAATGGACCGCATAACAAATATGGGGTCCGCAAAATGGACCGCGAAACTAATACCTAAAAACTGGAATGGTCTGGACAGGTCTGCGGTCCACAGACCACTTGTGCGGCAGCAGAATGGACCGCATAATCACCCAACAAAATTCTTCATACAAAATGTGCGATGGATGTGCGGACCGCGAAATGGGTATGAGATCGCAGAATGGGCTGCAAAATGACCTTCAAAATTCAACCATTTTTCTGCTCAACTCTGCGACGGGTATGCGACCCGCAGAATGGATCTACGGTCGCGAATCTGACCGCATAACTAGCCCTTCAGCAAAAAAATTTCTACCAACACCTCGATGCTTTCTTCTACTACATACGTACTCATTACCCGACCTCGGCACCACAAAACTAGAATCCCTTGGCGAAATTTTACGGGGTCTTACACTTTTATTGTCATGATATATCTTCCATAAATGATTTATTCTTATTTGAAGTCGTTGCTACATGTTATATATCTCATT